GCAAGGGGATTTCAATGAGCAAAGGTGCGCACGAGCGAGTTGGATTTCTGCAGGAACGTGGCAGAAAGTTCAACCCACACGCAAAATTCAGACCAATTGTTCGTTCTGGGACATGAGCCAGAGCCACTGGCACAAGCTTCTGGAAACATTTCCTGACCTTTACTCATGTTGAGGACACACCACGTGCTTCAGGCATCGATTCCGAAAGACACACCTGCCAAATACAGTCCAGCACCACGGGGCAACGATTTTGTCCTTACGATTCCAGGTATGTAATCTAAGGAATACACAATTCCTCAAGGCAAAAACTCAGGGATAAATGTTGAGTATTCCTCTGCTCCCCACCAAGTCAGTGTGGACTCTAGAAATGGGAGCTGTGTACGAGATACCAACTGTTTTCTGCTGCCTTGTACACTAAAAATGTTCCCGCAACGACAAGTCCAGCCTACAAGAGGCACTAAATAGAGTTAAAACCAAGCCAGAACAAACTCAGGAAAGCAGAACGCTTACCTTTAGTAAATAAAGAGAACTCTGGTTCTGGGGAGAGTGGAAAAAGTATCTGGCATCTTCCTAACCTTTGCATAATTAATAAATCCTCTGAGAAACAGCAGAAACCCTAGAGGGAAGGAAGACATTTATCCAGTTAGCAGAGGTGTGGCTTCCTGAATGAGGGAGGGAGCAGCTCAACTCACCCATACTAGCAAGGAGGGACCTAAGTGATACTGCCCCCAAGAAATGAAACCAAAAGGACGCTTTTAGTGTACCTTTAAAACCCAGAAGGCATTCAGTAAGAGGAGGAGTGCACTGAGGGTTACGTTTCAGTTTTACACCCAGAAGGGCATGTTTTGACAGCCAGTGAATCACAAAAGCCCGAACTGCATTTTACAGAGTTTTTAAGCACGCACCCCCTTTTCCCCCCCAGCGGGAACACTCACCTAGGACAAGGAAGACCCACCAAAGCCAATACTGGCCATCAAAGTAACCAGGAAAATAGGTCGAGAACTAGAGAAAAGATTTAAAAACAAATACAAGTTAGAGCACATGGAAGTTTCTGAACCCAGATGTATTCTCACCCGTTTCAGCAGTAACCGGATCAAGCCCGCCGCACGCAGAGATTACAGCATCCTGCATTTCACCAGCAGCACAGGCCACGGGGAACATGCCACCCCCAGGAACTCTCAGTTCAGGGTTTTCCATGCCCCTCAGACCAACTCTAACCAAGGGGGATGGGACAGACTCAATACCCAGCCATGAACTCCGGCAAGCAGCAGAGCAGAAAGACACTATCGAGCAAAGACTCCTATCTTCCCCGACGCCTTTGGTGCTTACACACCCCATTTGCAGTTTCTGAACGCGAGAAGTGGGTCTGCAGCAGAGCATCATGTTCGCTGCACTGAGAGGCTGGGCAGCAGAGCAAACAAAAGCACAGCTGAAAAAGAAATCCCAGCTCTGTGGAACCCTGACTGGATTTCCTATTGGGAAAATTACTGCTTGTGGAATTAAAGGCACCAACGCTATCAGAGCACTGAAGTTCACCCTGCCAGCGGGAAACACACTTAATTCTTTTGTTTTCATTCTATTCAAGTTTAAAAATGTAACAAAAGGTCAGTTTGTTATCAAAGTTTAAATTAAATCCACAGATAAAGTCACCTGCTTCTGTCCTACCTCCTAATCCAGCCGTTTCTAACACCCCTGTTACAGTGTGACCCCAAAAAGCTCAACTTTCTACAGAAAAAGTTAACAGATGCTGGATTTGCAAACCGTAATTCCCAGCCCCAAAGGATGAGGTGTGAAGTGACAGGCACTAACGCTCTCTACTTCTACGCATGCACACCGAAGGGGCTTTGCTGCTGGAAGTTCAACCATTCAGCCTGGGGCGCCTGCGTGCCGTTTTCACAGGCTCCATCTTCGCACAGGCTCCAAATACAGCTTTTCTGGTAGAAATATTTTCTCCCAATACCTCCAAGAAAATATTTTATGGCTTCCTTCCAGCATCAGCACATCTATATACTTTTTTATTTCCATGCCTGTGTCGCGGGCGTGTTGCGCCAGAGGGCACCAGCGAGCTTCTCCCATCCCTGCGACCAGGCAGTGGCTGCCTCTCCCGCACCCGGCCAAAAGCAAACCTCCCACTTTTTCAGGCCCTATTTCCCTCTCCTCACCGGCTATCCCACGTTTTAGAGGAGCACTTTTGCAGAGGAGCACCGTGCTGGAGAGAAACAAGCCTGTGCTGACGGCAGGGCTGCTGTATCTGCACAAAGTGTTGTGCCACGACACGTTCACGGGTTTTGCTCAAACACATTTTGATCCAGCACAGTGGCCCTGTCGAGGTGCACCACACTTAGGTGTGCAATCTTCCTTCTTCTTCATTACAATAACAATTCCAGCATATAAACAGGACACAGGGCTGAAAAGGCTCTGTTCTCAGGGAGTAAGCTTCTCCAAATCTGTTTTGTTATGAAAATCTAAATTCATAACAAACTTCAGTCTAAGTAAGATAAAAATGAGATAGGGAAGGAGAGTACCAGTGTCTACACACGCGTTTTTGCACTATGCAACTTACCCTGACAATAAGGATCCACTTAATGAGAGACAGACCAAAGCCAGAAATGGCCCCGTAACGTCCTGCGGCTGAAGTAGTCAGACAGAAAGACAGGAAAAATCCAATCCAGTTGAAGAGGAATGCCACTGGGAGAACAGGAGAAAAGCAGCAGGTCAAGCCCTCTTTATAGTCCAAGGGGAAAAAAAACCCATAAAACCCTTGCACGCAGGTTCTTCCTCGTGCTACATAAATGCAGGTGTGCAAATAACTCCAGACATTTTGGGTCTCTGCCTGAAAAAAAAGTTTCAGCATGTACTTACTGAAGAAAGTCAGCATGAAAATGCCGTCATTTCCTATCCTCAGCTGGTCGGTGTCGTCAAAGTCATCCCGTGTCACAAAGTCATCATCCTGCAACCAAAGGGAGACAAGAGGTGGGTGGATTTAGGTCAGTCCAGTCCACACAGCAGTCCCAACCTCGTGTGTGGCTCCCCAGGAAAGGGCCGGCAAACTGTACAGCCCTCAGAAAGCAGCGCAGAATGGAGGGATACCAAAAGCTTTGTTCACATTTAAGGACAGCCCCCATGGGCATGGGAATCCTAAATCTCAAAAGGCTACAAATCCAAGATGGAAAAACGTCCTGATTCTCATCCTGAGATAATGCAGGGCATGAAATACTAACTCACTGGCAGTATTTTTGTTTAAGATAGTCAAGTTCCAGCATGTTCTTGTTCTCACTGTAAAGAATTCCCCTACTCATCAAAAAATTAAACTTAACATCTCAACAAGAAATTTGGCTTCTGTGAAGGAGCAGCGGACAACGAATGCTGGCAGGGGTGGAGGGAGAGGCTGAACAAGAGACAACGCTTCAAAAACCAAAAAGAAATAAACCATGAAAAAGTAATTATTCTTACAGAGTGGTTTTCTCAGCCTTCTATCAGCTACACTGACCTCTGGAAAAGTCAACTAAGTGAACGGCAGGAGCATCAAGGGTAGACATGCTAGCTGCCTGAACAATTAATCCTAAATCCTTTCCAAAAAAACCCCAAAGAAGAACAAAAACCAGAGGCAGTGCACAGGGATACAGTACTCTTCCTCTGTCAGCTTGCCAAACTAATCCGGACAGCACAGGCTGGGGCATTACTCAGATGCCATCATAGCTGCCCAGAGGAAAGTTTGGGAAAAAAAAACCCACCCCACCAAAATTAGCCACAGAACTCTTGGGAATGTGTAATATCATTAAAAAAAAAAAAAAGCCATGGCACTGGACGGGCAGGAGTTAAACCAGAAATTCTACACGAGACGCAAAGGAGCACACTCACCCTTCCGGGAACCAAGGGAATTGTGGCTTCAGCCTTGGTTCTCTCTGCCTCATCGTAAGTAGGCAGCGTCGTGGCCACGTTGTAAGATGGAGGCTTTGGAAATCCTGACTCATCCTTGTAGTCAAAATAAGCTGCAAAAAAAAGTTGTATAGAAGGCAACTTGTCAGTTCCCAAAGAAAACCATGTTGGGAAAGAGCAGCGTTTCCAATGACTTCAGAAGACCCCAACTTTGCAGATTTGAAGCCTGCTCCTCCTGCGCCCTCCCCACCCTTCCAGCCCCCTGTCATCCCAGAACAGAAAGTGTGGAACACGGGATCTAACCCAAGGTGATAGGCAGAGCACTACCTCGACATGCACGGTTGTACTTGTTCCTAACACAGTGACACACGCTGTGTCTCCCCTGGCTTCAATAAACAGAGCAGTCACATTTTCAAACCCAAGGGGTTTGAGTGAGTCAAGTGTAATCCTTATGACCAAGTCCTCAGTTACTGAAAACTGCAGGAAGAGTGAGTTCTTTAACCGCCTTTAAGTGCCAAGTCCTTTTTGGAAGGGGCACAGCATCATCCAAATGCCAAATCATGAGAGGGGAACCACAAATCCTCACAGCACTTTGATTTTTAACCTTTTTCAATCTACTGAGAACACTGTGAAATGTAACTTGACCACCGCTTGATGGGATGACATCGGATGAATGCAGCCAAAATGCATCTTCCAAACCACAAGCAACAGCAGTCTGGATCAATTCTGATCCTTTGCAGCCTTGGTACGGACGCTGCAATGCCATCGTCGGGAAGGAGAGCAATTAAGAGAGCAAACCCAGCTACTGGAGTTCCACGTACCTGTGTTCTCCGCAGAAATGCTGCTGTAGGGCGGAGGGGCGTCACTCACCACCGGTGCACTCTCGCCTGGCTCCTCTTCATTCTGCAGCTGACCAGACCACACACAAGAGAGGTTAACGGGGTTTCCCTGGCTCTGTGCAATGACCCCTCCAGTTTTAATCACACACAACAGGCTCCTCTGGCAGAAGACTGTTCTAGGCACCGTGGGACACTGGAGCAGCTGCCCAGCTTCCCTCCCAAGTGGTCCCACTTGGAACCAGCAACGTGCCACCTCAGTTGTAATGTGGTTTTCAGTCGTATCCTCACACCAAGGCACAGCATACAGCTTTTCAGTACCTTTCCGTTTCCCTGGCACTTCCTCAGATTCCCCAGCTCACACTGCTCAGGAGCTGCAGGTGCATCTGGTTTAGTCAAAGAAATACCATGGGATAACCAACACAAGTCTCCATCGCTGCCTGTGGCTTTCCTAAGGAAGGGTTTTTCATGGATACATTACATAACGGCACATATAATACATGCATCTTGCCATTTCCCTCCAACCTTTCACACTGTATGACTGCAAAGGAGTTTATTTTGTGCACTGTGCTTCCCACGGGCTCCGTATAAATAACCGTACAGCTTATCAAGCACCCAGCGTCGCTCGCACGAAGCAGGTAGGAACGCAGGCTTGGGTCAGAGATGCTGCCAATCCCAGGCCAGGAGCGTTCAAAGCAGAACACACCAGAAAGGATTTTACAAAGCTGCTGCCATCCAGGTTTTTTTTTTCCCCCCCTTCTTTCCATTTCTCATCAGGTCAAAGAAACCGAGTTTTGATGCAGAAAACCAACTCATTTGAAAAAACAAAAAGCACCTTGGGACTGCACCACCTGGCTAACGGAAGCACCACCCCCGGTTGCAGGCACGGTGAAAACAGCAGCGACCCTGCAACTTCTCCCTTAGCATCCTGACCTACCCCCCCCAGACCCCTGCCAATACTCCTGAGGCCACCCCTGACCTTCGGCTGTCTCTGGAGACATGGTGCCATTCCAGTCCTTCCCAAGCAGGGGGGTGGGAAAGTGGGCATATGGTTTTATTTCACTTGTATGTCTAATCAGGGATCACCTTGCTGCTCTGACAGCAGACTCCATCCTCTCCCCATTAGTATGTCCCAGATAGCAGAGGTGGGAAAAAAAAAGGAGGGAGCTGATAAGCCCCAAGCTTTCTGGGTAAGAACTCCCTCCATGGCACAAAGCTGAACCAGTTCCTTGAAGAAGGAGAAATGGAGGATCCCTATGAAAATTTAATCCGCATTACACCAAGAGCAGCTCCCAGCACAGACGCTGGGGCTGTCAGCAATAGCCACCTGAAACGCTGGGACCCGGCCAGCTGTGAACCCACATCAGATCAATCCCTTCCTGCACCCCAGGAGCGAGGCCATGGGGCACCCAGGGCGGAGGTGGCAGGTACCGGCCTCCGTAGCCGCGGCTTTAATTAGCCACAGGGTGTGCAAGCAATTAACAGGGCAAGCTGCAGCAGGTCCTACAACAGCAATGCGTCCTCAGCTTTTCCAAACCCGCTAACCCAGCACGAGCCCTCACCAGGAAAGAAAAATGCCTTCCTTTACAAACCCCACGGAGTTCAGTCATAGAAGAAAACGCAAACTACCTTGTGAAGTAATTGTGTATTAAAGTAAGTCTTAAAAATAAACTAAGAGAGCACTGCTGCAGAAATTCAGGAGCAGCCTGTACCCAGCAGGAGAGGGCAACCTACAGGACAATCCCGTAAGATGCAGAGTCAAACTCGTTGACTTAGTCTCGCCCAGCTCTGAAGTCTAGGAACTCTCAGAAAACTCTGACATGCTCATCTTCAGTCTACCCATGACAATTCAATACTTCTCTCCTTTTTTACTTCTGCTTAGCAGGATGCAGTCTATTAACGAAGGAGAAGAGGCTCCGACGCACCAGGGATGCTCCGGATACCGCATGCCCTGCATTACCTGCTCTCCCAGTGAGGAGGCGGCAGGAATTAAAACCCTGATGTTGGTGAGAAGACACACAACCCCAAAGTACAATCCCTGAGGAGGGGGAAAGGAAAGCACTAGGTGAGACAACACTGCAAGAGATGAAACAGAAGAGGACAGTCAGTCGAGTGTAATATCAATTCTTGCAAGGTTGTTCTTTCATTAGCAAAAAGAAATATGCATTTTTGCCTCTGCCTCATGTGGGAGAAGCCAGCTGAATCATAGAATCCCAGAGCGGTCTGGGATGGAAGGGACCTTAAAGCCCCCCCAGTCCCACCCCCTGCCATGGGCAGGGACACCTTCCACTAGACCAGGTTGCTCCAAGCCTCATCTTGCCTGGCCTTGGGCACTTCCAGGGATGGGGCATCCACAACTCGCTGAACTCACTGCTAGCTTCAAACCATCATGATTCAGGCAGTGACACAAAAAACGTAGCTGTGTTTTTAAAGTTGAGCTGGAGGCTGTAGGAGGTATACAGTGATAGAAAACAGATTTTTCTGCTAATGGACAAGGTACACAAATGCCTTCCAGGCTTTTTAATGATTCCAGGCATCTAAAATTCAACTAAGTGCTTATTAGCAAAGCAAAAAGGCTTCATGTGACAGGAAGAATGAGTCATCAGGCCTCGCATGGCCCTGCACGCTGCACCGCTGCACCGAGCTCGCCTGGCATCTCCCATCTACGGCGGGTCCGCAGGATGAAGGCGGCGACGAGGAAGCCTGGGCTGCTGGGGTTGGCAGGCAATTCCCTCTGGGCCACTGCTCAGAGTCTTCCGAGCCCGGAGCACGCGATTAAAGCCGTGCTTGACTGAAGCCTCTTGCGCTGCGGCCGTGGGGCATTCTTCCCTTGGTTCGCTGATGGATTTGAGCTTTTAAAGCAAGGTCCTGGTATTCGTGGCATTAAAAAATGAGACGGTCTTTACAGCGGTGCACCCAGCTACTGAAACGAAAGTTTGGCTGGGTTTTTTTTTCACCAGATTGCTAAAACAACCGAAAGCTGCCTGACAGAATGGGATAAGACCCAGGGACATTTATTTTCCAAAGAAAATTCTCTCAGAAGCTGGGCTGGGAGCAAGATATCGCCCCCGCCCGCCACTTCCCCTGCTGGTGGCACATCACGTGTAAACACACGCAGCACAGCAGCATCCAAGTTCACTTACCCAATGGGTTTAAACATTTCCATGTCAACTTTAAAGAAAACATTTCCAATAAATATATTTGATAATTCTCCCAAATTTTCTGAGCTTTGGCAGTTTGGCTCTTTCTTTTTTTACCCTCCCCTTGCTCCAAGTCCACAGGCTGCATGGAAGTATTCTTTATATTAAATCGGGATCTCTCCAAGCTTTGTCCCAGCAACATACCTTAACTCAGCAGCGTACCATGAACGTTCACAGCATTTCAGTTCTCAGTCTCCCTCTGGCACACAAGGTAGAACCACACAGAAATCCCACAGTGAAGATAACCCAGCCAGATCTCAGGTTTTGTTGTTACTATGGTTTCTGGGAGTTTTCAAAACGTCAGATACTTAGGCTAATGACAGAAGGATAATTGATATTTTTTCAAAAGGTGACGGGATTTATTTTTTTCAGAACAATGAAATCATAACCTTAGCAAGCCAAATGTTAAAAAAAAGCCTAAAAAATGTGTTTCACTACTAAATTTGAGAGTACTCCAGGAAGGCAACAGCCTACCCATCAAAAGGTTACACTTCACCCCACTGCAACACCCCTTACTTTTCTCCTTCACATATCTTTGGCCTTTTCGAAGGAAATTAAAGTTTCTGCCAACTCTGAGGGAGAGGAGAATTATTTGTACTGACTCACCTTAAACGTACCCTGATCTGAAATCCTGACACTGCCCAATGCTGCTGCAGGCTCCTGTAACTTACTATCAGCTTATTAACCAGGAGGAATAACGATAAGCTATTAGACAAGTCAACACACACGCATCAGCCCTCTCCCTGATGAGCAAATAACTGTTTTCTCCCGCAGGTGCTTCCAGTTCGCGGCACCGAGGGGGGGTGATGGCCCCGCACAGCGTCCACCCCAGCTACCTGCGCAGCGTGCCGTGTGGCTCTTGGGTGACACGCTCGGCTGGCACCCTCGCCAACCTCCCCGGCTTCTCCCTGCTCCGCGAGATGCTGATGCTCCTGCTTGAGCCTCGCACCGGGGAAGCAACCCTCTCCCAAGCTGTGAGCACAGCCCAACTCCGGGGAGCCACCTCCCCAGGTCTCTGCCAACCTGAGCTGCACCTTCACTTTAGTAAAGGCCTGAAAAATGTGCCTCCACCTCTTCTTTTCCCAGCCAGAGCAGCTCCCTGCCACGCAGCGAGCACCCAGCAGCGCCCACGCAGCGGGATGCTTGGAGCAAGGACCAGAAACCAGCGGGAGCATCTGCCTGAGGGGCACGTTTGCAACGACCCTCCCAGTCACCGAGGTAAAAACCCAAATCAAGCCAGTTTTATGTCCACCGAAACACAACCCGCGCTCAGGAGGAGGTTGATCTTCGCTGACTCACTGTGGGCAATGGCCTGACAACATGGAAATACACCTCAGTCCTGGGAAACACACTGATCTAATTCCCTTGCCTCTGCTCAAACCAGGAATTATACTGGTCTGACTAGGCCATAAACAAGCACTTGGGCTAGCAGAAACCTGTGCCTATGGACTGTCCTTAGAGTCCAGTGTTTGAGGTCTTAATGCAGAAGAAGTAGGTTTTTATGTTCCAACTGTCATTAAATGTCACACACTTCAAGCACAAGGCCTTACCACAATGCTTAGAATCACATTTAGCATCTTTCTGGACATTAAGACATAACAGAAAGAACTCTGGTTCTTTTCAGCATTTTAAAATCTCATTATTTTTTTAATTGTCACATGAAGAATGTTAAGTGTCTTCAGTGAAAAAAAATATCCTATGGTGCTACCATATACTAAATTTGGAGATTTCACGAGAAGAGGCAGAACCGGAAGGAATGGAAACACCTCAATACTGATTTTTTTCTTATTAGTCCCGAAGAATCCAAACTCACAGACACAAAACTTGCTACCTGCTTCTGGTACAGCTCCTTTGGAAACACGAAGCCAAGCAG